AATCCGCCAACATCTTGAAGGTGAAACAGGCCTCCACGTCGTGCAAACTGCTGTCTCACGGTTCTTCCTGGTAAACAAAAACTATACCTTCTTCAATCCTGTCATGTAAGTCAAACTCACGTCACAGCGTTGGTTTATAGAGGACCATGGAAATAATTCTAGCTGCAGCCAGTACGAGAAATTAATTCAAGCCGTCAAGAAAGGCAAAATGTCCTATTTTTAGAGTCAATCACCATGAATCTTATGCAATACGATTCCAGCCGTTTCTTTCCATAACACTGTCAGAAACTTAAGAGTTCACTCAAAGACCTCTATCAACGACATCTTTGTTCAGAACATGACAAATGTTACAAAAAATTAAAACATAATGAGAAATAACTGTTAATATCTGATATAACAATGGAAAAGAAGTTCCGTCACAGACAAGCGCGTACAAACCACAGAGGGAATTAATTGGTTTTCGTAATATAACGGGTTAACAAAAACTTCAACCATACAAAGCTGAATCGGATTTTTCCATTTAGTAGAACTTGGCACTGTTAACTTCAAACACGAATCCTGTTAATTATTTACTAAATAACTTACACGTCTTAATCTAAAAGAAAATCCCACCTATAAATCTAAATCACGACTCGCTTGCATAGACAGTACTATTTTAACCTATACATACATCGTTGAATTATCGCTAATCCAGATCATAAGCATTGCTTCTTAAAATCTATCCCTACAAACTTTAACTCTTCATAACTCAAAATACCGACTTTCTATAAACCTCGGCATAGGTAGTTGATATATTTACTTATATGATCTTATAAACTGGTCTTCTTTAGCTGATGCGAGGTTGGTATAGGTCTTCGTTATTGTTGCCGTTGCTCTTGTTGGTCGATGGATGACGTTTCGGCGATTTCGCCTTCCTCAGAGCCGTGATGTTACGAGTGGGACTCGTGATAAACGCAAGACGTGGTCATTTATCCATAATTATAAGTTTGTAAACTGCATTCCTATCATCATCAATGATCAGCCGATCCTATTTGCGAAATTGTTTTCTTATTCGATGCTCTACTGAAAACTATCCACTGGAGGATAGGCTCGGTGGTAAATGATCTATAAAAATTCCCTATCCAAGCTAGACACTTTCACTCCAGTATTCCATTATTAATAACGGTCATCCCACGTGGACGACACGCTGGTGGTCCCAGTCGTAACATCACGGCCCTGAGGAAGGCGAAATCGCCGAAACGTCAATTATCGACCAAGAAGAATAACAGCAACACCAACAACACCAACAACAACAATGAAGACCTACGCCAACCTTGCATCAGCTAAGAAGGATCAGTTTATAAAATTATATAAATAAATTTACCTCTTCATTAAATTGCATTCTACCTTAAAACATTTGACTGATAAGAAAATCAAGTAATAACGGTCATCAACGACCCAAAGCTCACATGACATGGTCTTGCAGAACTGAAAGCAAAATGCAGGGTGTTACTATTTAACGTAATAGCTGTAACATATTCCTATAAATATACCTATTCCTATACATACTTCCGAAATTAGCCATGAGAAGACACTTGAGATTACCCAAAACCCACAGGTTAACATTCACAATGACCGCTTACTTTAATAGCATCTAGTTCCAAATTCGGTCGGTAGATAAATCTAGTCACGCTAAATTACTGGAGTGCTTTGTGGAATTTAGGATACCCTTGGCTTCTAATAGTAGGAATTTTCATCATTTGACATATGGAATTATTTTTCCTCGTAACCGTAACCAACATGAACTGCTTCAGGGAACGTCACGGAGCACCTGAAACTGTTTTGCATAAGCTTGGAAAACAAACGAATAAATCCAACAAAAGCAAACCGATAAGACTAACAGTGTTTCAGTTAAAATCAACTTAAAAAACAACAAGAAATTTATTAACGATGACTCGCCCAGAAAACTAATTTCCAAAGTGTCAGCTGCGCTGAATTATAAAGATTACTTGTATTTTTGTTTAGCAAATTCGAGGTGTTGTTTTATTTCCTTACTTCCGCACAACCTGACGTTCCGGCGGATATTGTCTCCTTCAGAGCCTGGAAAGGCTAAGTTGACTGCAATCTACCCGCCCAAACACAAAACCAAGCAGGAAAGTGGTGCTAAATCAAGATTTCAATCACATTGAACACAGAATAGCTTCATTGCACAATCACCGCTTTCTATGCGTCTTCCACTGGGTATGTCACGTGGAGACCAACAGCACAGAGTTCACATGGAATCGTAATTTGCTCCTACCTAAGAATAACAGCTTTAAATACTGCCCAATATCGCACGTGATTATGAGGCATTACTCCCTACGGCCCATTTTCGAATTCTTGAAATGCATCCAGAATACCTCGACAGTTTTGCGCGCTTGTGTTTTCGATTCCTGTGCGAGGAACGTAATCTCTATTTGAAAATCCTCCCCGTTACGTCATTGCGTCCTATGCGTGCCTGGTGGAGCAGTGATGTGCAAAAAAAAAAAGAAAATTCAAGGCTAACCGTGTTAGGAGGCATGACTCTTCCTGATGGTGCGTGCTGATTATTAGAATTGAGACCAAGTTTCTCACCATCTGAACCCATTTCTAAGATAACCTTGCGTAGAGCTGCATGTAGTTTACATGAACATCAAGATAGACTCCGCAAAAAAGCTAGAGATGAAGCGCTAAATATGCGCAAACAAAAACAAACCCAATAATGAAGTTAACTTTAAATTTCGGATCTTTGCGAATGAAACTTCCAAAGTCCTTAATCACTATCATGCAAAAAGATATCGCTCCAACCTCACAGAAGTGCAAAAATTCTGTATGCGGGAGGTACGAGAGCTGATGGTGTTGAAAAACACAAAACCTTCTATTAGTGATAAGTGTGGAGAGTTCGTTATAATTCCTCATCATTAGATGTTGAGATAACGAAAAAGCATTTTTTATCGCCCATCGTCTGAGGAATTTAGAAGTCAATACCGAAAGTTAAACAACGAACGGGTCACAACAGAATGAGCGGCTGGGTATCAAAACCCATAAGTTGGTAGCCAGTGATGATCTTGTGTCTACAGATCCACTGTTTTTTAAGCTTAGAACTATCATTAGCTGTGTAGGCGGGCCAACGGATAGAATAGCGTGGTTTATAACCCTAACAATTACCCAGTTGTTAAAGCACTTTCAAGCCCATCTAACGAACACCCAGATGTTCCCGGATCGTCTACGTAACGCACGACCCAACAGCGCATACTTGATGGGTCCATCGACGTCACCGCCTTCTATACAAACGTGTCGAATGACTCCGCTTTGCAAACCTTCCTCGAACTCTCTATACAACACGAAGGAGCAATAAACATGTATGGCTTCTCGATTCAGCAGCTGATGACACTCATAAAAGAATGCTTGAGCTGCTCAATTTTCAGATGGTCCGGAAAGTACTACGTTCAAATAAGAGCGTTGGCAATGGGACAGCGACTAGCACCAAGTCTTGCCATTGCGTTTATGTCTAAGGCGGAAGCACCAGTGACCGGTCTCGGGCCGTTACTCTACTGTAGATATATAGATGACTGTTTTGTCATTTGCTCAACATAAGAGGAAATGGACAAATGTTTCGAGTTATTGAATGAATAATCAGAGTATATTAAGTTCATCAGGGAGAAACCAAAAGAAAACCGGCTTCCATTTCTGGACGTGCAAATTTAACTATCAAAAACGACATTACAAAGTGATACCGAAAGCCAAGTAGTAAAAACATAGTCATTCATTATCTCTCCTCTCACCCCACATACACATAAAGGGCGCTTATAAGAAACATGTTTCGAACAGCAACCAACGTGTGCACAGGTAGAGAGCGGAGAGAGGAGTCCCATAACTCGGCGCGGCAAATAGCAATTTCTAACGGCCACGAAACTGTAGCTCGGGATAGGTGTAGAGGAAACCCAAGCTACTAAACGACAACTCTAACGATAATAAAGTTCCGTTTATTTCGCACTTCGTGTTAAATGAAGTAAATGCAGCTATAAAACGCTGCTTAAGAAGGGCCGGTCTAGAGAATTCGGTAACCGTAATTGAAATGTCAACTCACCGAGTACTCTAAGACACCAGCTAGTTCGTAACCTCCTCTATGACCATCCATGTGCAACGCAAAATTGCATAATTTGCCCCAATGGTAGAGACGGTGACTGCATGAGTTTGGGTACAGTTTATCTGGTCTCTTGTAAAGCGTGCGGGCACGAATAAATTGGCGAAACGGGTAAACCACTCTGTTTCCGTATAAAAAAATGCCTATTGGGCAAACTTAAACCAAATACTCCACAGGACGCAGAGACATAACGAAGAAGATTTTGAAGTAGAGGTTACGATCCTCGCAAAGGAATCAAAAACACAAGCGAGCAAAACTCTCGAAACATTCCAAGAAACCGGAATGAACCACAGGGAAGAATGCCTCATAATCACGCGTGATATTGGGCAGTATTTAAACTTGTTATTCTGAGGTGAGGAACACACTACTATCCCATGTGAATACTGTGCGGTTGGTCCTCCCCGTGACATATTCAGTGGAAGACTCATAGAAAGCTGTAGGTGTGCAATGAATCTACCCGTGTTCACTGTGATTGAAATCGTGGTTCAGCGGTTTCTCTGCTTGATTATGGAAATCTTTGGCTGAGTAGATTGCAGTCAACTTGACCTTTCCAGGCTCTGAGGAAGGCAAAATCCGCCAAAATGTCAGCTTGTGCGTGAACAAAGGAATAAAATAACACCTCGTGTTCGCTAAAAGAGAATATAAAGAATTGTTCGATCAATGCCGAGTTTAACAGACAGTCTGTCATGGGAGTTACTACAAAGATTATTACAGTAAAACGTCAAAACTTCCTACAAGATCTTATCCTATTCCCTCGCATTTACTATCATCCCCTGGCTGTTTTCAATTCCATGAAACTACGAGGCCGTGACCAACATTGGACCTCAAGATTTATCTCTTCGTTCCCTGTATTGAGCTATGAATTTCGACTAAACAGGATTACTTCCGACCTGGGTAGAGCCAACTTTAGCTGTCGTATAAACCATTGTCGATTACTGACGTAGGGTAAAAAATAGAAATGTGCTCGTCGCAAAGCCGTTAACCGTGACAACCAGTAAACTGCTCCATCACTCACAGAAGGATTAAGAACAATTTCCTTCAAAAATCAGAAATGGACAAGATAATACAGAATAGGCGATCAACTAACCCTGATAAACCTCGAGAAGTACACTTACTATATCACGCAGAGTAGCCGCTGGTCTTCCCAGAGCCAGTTCCCTAATAGCATCGTCATCGAAGTAATCACAAAAATTCATTTTTAGCACTTCTAAATGCCTGAGATCACGAAAATATTTAAATCCTTCGTTCGCGATTGCCGAATCACTTGCATCAATCTGGAATCTATTTTTAAGCTTTCAAGCATCTTTCTTTTGGATATTGCGCTATTTGACTGACAAAAAACAATCTTAAGACATCATATTTAATGAAATTACAACAAATATACCAGACTTTTGATATGTGTACTTGAGGAACATCCTTCCATCTCAAACTGTACTTAAGGTCATCGGAGACCGAGTTCAACACCGGCTTAAAAGTGTCCTGAATAGCACTTCTTGTTCTTCACTATCATTTAATCTATGTTTAAAAAAAACCTTTTCTGGCAGGTCACAAAAACAAACTATTGGATGAAAAAGAAGGTAAAGGGAGGACCTCCATAATGCTAGCTCTCCAGTAAAAAAAGAGGAGAAAGCTCTCAGAGTAGATCTATCAATGAGAGATGGGCCATGCATTCAACCTCATTAAGCATTGTTAAAGGTGATTGAGCACATATCTGGTCTTCACGATGACTCGCGTTGTATCGAGCCACTGCCGCTATCCTCCCAGACAAGTCTGGCACCAATTTGCCGACCCCGTAAGGAAGGAGGGCTTGGTGAGTATGCCGCGCATAGATCGATCACACGTGTACTGTAAGGTGCCTCCGACCACTGCGCTACACCGTCCTGCAGTACTACACACATAAGGTGCATAACTATACCTTTTCATCTAGTTTGTCTCTTATGTACGACTTCATCTGTCGAATAGATGTTATTCGCTGGTTATCACTCATTGTTATCTAGAAAGATAAAGAATATTAATGAATGTAATAGTAGAAAAAAACAGCCACAAACCTCAGTCGACCCACACTCCATAAGCCATTCAAGGCACGCAAGATCAGGACCAATTTCATTGATACGTTTTTCGTTGAACCTGATTTAAAAGCAAATTTTGCTACAAATGTAACCTCAACTTCATAGTTCCTGTCGTTTTTCTTACCTATTCGATAGACGCTCGGCTATTCGACGTCGTAGGCTATATATTTTAAGCGTGAAGACGCCTTTCATACCACGTAGTTGGCTTCCTCTTTGTGAAAACTCTGGAATCCAACAATTATTATAAAAGCACAACAATTTTTAATCTATAACATACTACGAAACAAAGTTGTCATAAAAAGTCCTATAAAAACATTAGCATTTTTATCAATATTCACATAAATAAGAATAGTTCTCGGCATTGATCAATCTCAGGGATGCGCCGTGCATTCGACTTCACAAAGGATCGTCGGAGGTGATTGAATGAATACCTGGCCATTACAATGACCCACGGTGGCCTAACGGTGTGTCCAGCCAGCGCTGTTGAGTGCGCTGCCCAGAGTAAGTCTGGTACCAATTTTCTAACCTCGGATGGATGGAAGGCTTGTTGAGACTGCGGTGCTGGGGTCGATCGTATGTGTGTTGCAGGGCGCCCAATGCGTTACTTGTACCTCTGTCCTTCCGATATACCATCAAATAAGTAAACCCCATGATCAACTCACGTCTAAACAAGTGTGAAATATGGCCGAAACGATAGCACACTGTAGAATACAAGCAGAGACCATTAACACGTCATCTGTATGTGTCGCAACCTTAACAGCACTTCACATAGACAAAAAAAAAGTTCAGTTGCAGTACAGCGTATGTAATATACGGACCATCTCCATCGTGGCTAATCACCTCAGTAACAAAGTATTGAGCATATAACTATTCATTTCAAACACTTCAGAACGGAGTGCCCAGTTACCCGTTTGCAATAAGAGAAAATGAAAATAGAACTTGCTAAACGTATAGACAACTTCAACAACTCGAGCAACATATGATATAAAACGAAGTCCCAACTCTACAAGAAATACAACATAATTTTCCACAACGATGCGTCAATCGAATTTTGGTCGCTTAAGCAAAACCAAATCGGTTTCTTCATCATCATCTCGTTTTAACCCAGCACTGCTTCCATTGTTCAACAAGAAATCCAAAGATAGATCCATTTGAACACAAAACATTTCTTTACGAGACGACACTGTCCGCACCTAAAATTGGTATTCCCTTCAAATCATTCTTTAATGGAAAAACGGCTTCATTAAAACAAAAGCAACTATGCACTGACATGATGGACAAGTTCTATGGAAGCTTCTTCCTCGTTCAAAAAATCCCGGACCATCTCACATGACCGCTTTACATACCAATCCATAGGCATGTCCTCATTCGCCTGACAAACAATTATTGAAGACCAAGAAAACTTGCAACATTAAGGAAGAACTACGGTACCTTTACAAATAGGTAGCAATATACTTTCACTGGGAATGTCAACGATAACTCGGAGGTCACGTGTTTCGATAACAACCCTTTGAAAGAAGGAAGGAAGTTGATGGCATGAGCAGGTAAGTTCATCAGTACGTTCGCTTCGGAAGGTGTAATTTCCGAGGTCTTCGCTTTCTGGAGCTCCTAAAATTATACATAGCTCAGAACACTTTAGAATAAAACTTTTGAGAGTTTTCTGATTAAACACAAGACATTACAAAACAGTCAAATTACGCCTCCCAACTGTTTACCTCCACACCGTGGTTAGGAGGTATTCTTGGATGTCAGGCTGCGATGAACAGCAGAAAGATTCATCTCCCAAGCAGGGTCTCCCAAGCTGAGGAGCTTGGCGCTTCCGTCAGGGAGCCCAGCTAAGTGTTAAACAATACCAGGAACTACCATCGTCCCAGTTTCAAATTAGTCGCATAATGGCAAATCTCGCTCTGATCCACATGGTGACTGCCAATGGTGGTGACGACCTGGGGCAAACTTTGGCTAGGTTGACCTCGTGATTCCAAGGTCGTGATTTTTTTGAATTTTGCTGTTTACCCACTGTGGTGGGTAAACAGCAAAACTCAAAAAAAAAATGGAAATTATGCTGGGGCCAGCACAACTATTGAATAGGGGCCATCTAAGCATCCAAGTAACTTAGATTGCGATAGCGAAAGAACACCACGTATCTATACTACTTCTAATACTTACCTGACTTAGATCATTGGCAACAACTTCACGGATAAATTCATTGGCATCAAGATTGTAGACTTGCATTTTATCGGCGGGAATCTAAAGTGCAATTTCTTTCGTATTTATTCGTATTATAAATTACTTAAGTCTTTTGAAAAAAAACTAACAGCACCTTGTTGACAATTACATTTTCCTTCAGCCATCTTACACTTTCTGGATTAAGATCGTTCGCTAGCACTCGAATCGAACGACCCTTTTTTATTGCTGGCAAAACAAATGGACCAACTCCAGCACAAACGTCATAAACTGAAGACCACTTTATGCATCACCACTTGAAAAGTTTACGAGTAATAATAAGGAAAAATTGGTCCACTCACCCAATGAGAGTGATTTAAACAACTTCACTACGCGTTCATGCTCATGACTGAGACGAGAATTCCAGAAAACCTACAAAAGAAAAGTTTAAGCTTTTCTATAAGGTATGTCTTTTTTGTTGTATGTAAAAAGCACAAGAAATATGCTGAGAAATATGACATCAAACGTCTAGTAATGCAAGAAACAGTTTCAATGTACGTAAGCCTTAAAAATCAAAGGAGAAAAATAACAAGAGTTGTAGAACAGTTGTAGAACACTATTGCAGTTGATTTAAAACGCTCCACTCATTACATTTAAGTAGTACTGCTTTCAAATTTGGATAGGATGCCACCTTATTGGTACAAACATATGAAAAAAATTGAGGGAGGGAGGTGGGTAGAGGGAGTCTCTTAAGGCTTAGATGTTTAACATCGAACCAGCTAAATATGGAAGCCTTCTCCTAACAGATATCTATACGCGGTTCGTCGACTTCAATCAAGTCGTCGCTATGTATTATGAAATCATTTGCCGATAACTATTGAAGATTATAATATTAACTTTTTATTTGCTACCCACTACAATTTTTAAAGGCAGGGTATTATGTGAGATAAAACCATAATGATGCTGAGATATTTGCAAAACTTTGGACTTCACCACCCACGAAACTTCGATCCCCAGCGCAGATATATGCGGACCGGAGTTTTGCAAAAAATCTGCACAATGAACGCTGGTGAGCCGACGATAGTGGAGTTTGGTCCCGACGGTGCTCTTGGCTAACCGCGAACTGAGCTCATCAGCCAACATCGGCTGATATGACAATGTTTTTCGGTGTTTCCTTTCCTTTCAAGAGTTTTTTCAAACTCCCTTTTATAGTCGGGGTGAAACTAAGAAAACTAGCTGAGACAAAGGCGAAATGAAGGACCCGCACAGTGTGGTGGTAAACGTGTTAGTTCCCGGAAAGGATAACAGCGCGTTCGTTCCCCACCGCAGACACCTGCTTTCTGGAGTTTCACAAATATCTCAGGATCATTATGGTTGCATCCCAGATTACATGAAAAATATCCAGTGCACAGTCAAAATCTGGCAAAAACTAATTATAAGACCGAAAAGAATGACGCCAATTACGATAGTATTAGAAACAAATAGAAAGCAGCGAAAAAATACCTTGGAAAAGTCAAGCCGATACTTCAGACCACTTTCGCCAAGCTCAGTAACGTAGTCGTCAGCACCCGCCAGTAAATCTAACTCAAAATTACGATACTCGTTTGTAATACTGTCAATTTTATTGACAACGGTCCTGAACAGAAAAAAATTGATAGTAACGCAGCATTCCGAACTCGAAAAGATTAGAAACCCAGTTTTTGGTAGACGGAATGCAATTCATGTATTCCACACTATCGCATATCACCATGTAGTTGTGAATATAGTGGGTCTATAAAGGATAAAAGGATGGAGCTCTCGACGTTGATCAAGCTCTAAAGATGTGCCATGCATTCGACTTCATTAAGTATCGCTGGAGGTGATTGAATGCATATATAACTTTTACAATGACTCGCAGTGGCTTATCGATGTATCGAGCTAGTGCTGCTATCCTCCTAGACAAGTCTGGTACCAATTTGTTGAACCCTGAGGGATGGAGGGCTTGGTGAGCCTGGAGTCCGGGGATCTATCCCACGCGTACTGCAGTGCACCTCCGAGCACTGCGCTTCACACGACCGATCGGCCTGTAAGTTATCATAACAGAAAACGCAGAGCAACTGTCACCGTCCTCAAAAAGCCGCATTAAATCGGTAGTCGAGACGTATAGGTCCTCGGAGAAACTAGAGAAATCACATTTATTTATGTGGTCTTATAAACTGATCTTCTTAAGCCGACGCGAGGTTGGTACAGATCTTCGTTGCCGTTGTCGTTGTCTTTGACGTTATTGATCGATGGCTGACGTTTCGGCAGCGACAACGAAGATCTGTACCAACCTCGCGTCAGCTTAAGAAGGTCAGTTTATAAGATCACACAAATAAATATATCAACTATCTATGCCGAGGTTCACAGAAAGTCGATCTTTCGAGTTAGAGAAATCACAGTTATGTTCTGTTTGCTCCAGACTCTACTAAAAGTCTACCCACAACGCTGTACTTTCACATAATACAGAAATATGGTTATGTATCTTTATTTCAAAGGCGCGTGCTGCGCAGTGGTCGAAGGCGCCCTGTAATACAAAGAAAACGACCATAAGAATTAGTTTATATTGCCTAACAAATAAGTTAGCTAATACGAACTAATTTTATATATAAGAGCTCGTGTGGCACAGTGGATGGAGGCGGCACTGCGACACACACGTGGAATCGATTTCGCACCAGTGGCCCACCAAGTCCTCCATTCGTCCAGGGTCGGCAAATTGGTACCAAACTTGTCAGGGAGGATAGCAGCGCTGACTCTCAATGCAGCAGCAGGTCACCGGAAGTCATTCTAAAGACCAGATATGCATTCAGTCACCTTCAACGATGCTTAGTGAAGTCGAATGCATGGCGTATCCACTAGGGATAGATCAACGCCGAGAGCTTTATCCTTTTATCTTAACTATACGCTAATTAATCGTTTTCCAAAAAGGTTAAACAACATGATTCCAAAACTCACCTACACTTGCTGACTTTTTCAAGTAAAATCTGGCCAATTATTTTCTTGTACGGTAATAAATTCTCTCGTAAATTGACATGCACAATATGTCCAACTTGGCTATAGGAGCTAAAAAGTTGGAATATAAGTCCACATTGAATGGTAGGTCTATAAGATGGAGGTACTGCACAAATTCTGGTAAGATGCCTTGCAAAGTGAAGTAAAAAAACATAAGTACCTGAATTCTAGGTCTTTCGGCAGTACTGCCCTGAAAATCCTTTTTAAATCCCAATCTTCGAAAGCAATTACTACTTCTCGAGTCTCCCACATTACCTCAACATCTAAAGACATCTAAGGATATAAGATTAAGCTAAACCAGAAGGAATACAACTCACCAACGGCGTATTCCTTAACCATAGACTCTATCTCCACTTTCAATTCGGTGGAAGACTCATTGACACGAGATGGATCGAACAAGAACAACTTATGTTTCGGATCGTCCGCATCCATGATGGGCTAGAAACTAGTAGGTACACTTGGGAAGAGATCAGGCAGTAATGGAACCATCTTAGTTAGAACTAACTGGTTAGCCTTAAAGCTTAAACTTACCTTAATTCGCCCAAGATTTTTGATAAGATACTTCTCCAGCCTAACTTTCCTTTGTATTAAAGACACTTTGTTTGCGTCGACTTTCATAACCGTGAAGAGGATGGTATTTCTGAAAAGTGAAAACATTCAAGCAAGGAGAAAGAGAGAAAAAAACTCAACTGAAAATCTACATGAATAAATCCTTCTTCAAATCCGTCATTCCTCGTACGACATCCGGAATCTCGACAACTGAGCTTCTCATTATGGAATCCTGTTTCGATACTGGTACATCAACAGCTGTCGAAATCAGCTGGGTCGCTACATGGTTCATGTCGATTAGCCTATACGTAAAACCATTTTAAATAGAAATGACTGTCTCTCATTACACTGAAAACACTTAAGAACTTTAAGAACTCAAACATTTAAAGACCCTAAAACGAACTTAGAAAATCTCACCTCTCTAGCTGACAGAGAAAACACTGTGCAAGGTTTTTATGACGCAAAACACCAAGAAATAAGGTATTCATAAACCCTTTTCTCATGAATAACCTGTTAGTGAGAAAAATAGACGTCTTACTATGCAGTGTGTGTGGTGCAGATTACCAACACTACAGCAGACCTAGGACTCTCGAGCGGATCGCTGAACTTTGATCTATGGAGGGTGTTAATAAGGTTTCCCGTTGAGTTTAAACTCCTTATTTAATTTATCTCGCTTCTCAACAAGTTAGACAACTTGTAAAGACCCAATTGTCACAATAAATTATGGTCTAAACCCTACGCCAGAGTTGTTCGACTGCCATGAAGTAACACAAGACGTTACAAGTTATCTCACCTTGGAATTTTCCGGACTGTGCATTTAGTGGTAAAAGTATTCCTTTTTCTTGAAAAGTTCCTTTTCCTCTTAGTGGCACTGAATGCCTCGTAAGCCGGTAAGTTCTCCTAAAATATACGAGGTGGTCGTGGCCCACAAAGCTTTTTCGCTAAGGGACCACTATTGTTTACAATAACTTTTTATTTACTGCCTACTAAAACATTTCACGGTAAGGTATTACGTGAAATACAACCATAGCGATGCTGAGATATTTGCAAAACTTCGTACAGCAAGTGCCTGCGATGGGGATCGAACACAATACTACTCTTCTCGGATACCTGCGATCCAGAGTTTTGCAAATATCTCAGCGTCATTGTGGTTGTATTTCACATTATTGCTTAGCTCATTTTTGGTGAAACGACTGGATAAAAGTATGTTCTGAGCTTTTCTTCTGTTGTGAAGGTGTTGCTACTAGTCTGACATCCCTGCAGAAAAGCAAAAAGTGCTTTTCGTAAGGAAAGTACTGGATGATTAACAGATAGAATCACTATCTATTCAAACTGTTTGTAGCTCGTTCTCTGCAAAATATATTGAAGGTACTAGTAACGTAATCTGTTAAAGCCTATCTCTCCCAACGGTTTATAGCCTCATTGTGGCTGGGTGTTCCTGGGTGTCGGGCTGCGAAGTACAGCGGTGGGATTCATCCCCTGGCATAGTCTCCCAAGCTGTAGAGTCCGGCGTTTCCACCAGGAAGCCCTGCTAAGAGTGAATCAATACCACGATCCTGCTATCAAATTAATCGCATGGAGGCAAGTTTCCCTTTGATTCAACAAGGGCGGTGACTGCCTGTGGTGACGACGACCTGGGACTTCCCCTAGCGAATCTGGAGACTCCAGGGAACCACAATAGCTATAGCTAAGCCAGCAAAACTACGAAAAGTGGGAACTGTGCATGGGGGCGCACCACCAGAGAGGACAGGCCATCCAAGTATCCAAGTAATAAAATTTGAGTTCTAGGCATGTTCAACAATGCTTGACTTCCTTTTCAGAAGGAAGATTCATTTAAAAAGGAACTGAAGATGGAATTGGAGGGAATTTGGATTTGAATTTTAAAGCGGTTGGAAAACCATAGCGAGAAAGATAAGCAAGAGATATAGGATTATCAGTCAGTACGAACGTTGCCGAGTGAAGAAAAGAGAGAAGATGTAGAAAGAGGCTAGGAAGAATGATGGTGAGGTCAAAGTTGAAATGGAACGGTACACCTAGTAGAGTTGGCTAGGATAGAGGATCTAGTGAATAGTGAAAGAGTTAGTTTAAATACATCGTTAGACAAAAAACCGGGTCGAACCGTTATCACTAACATGTCGCAACAAGGTCGCAGGGACAAGTTTAAAAAGTCGAGGGAACGGTTATTTCTTTCTTCCGTGATGATCATCATCGCCATCGTTCTCATCTTTTATCCTTTTTCTTTTGGTAATTCCAGGATTTTCTAGCAAAATCCTCTTCATAATCCATTGTATTTACCCATATTGAGTCCTTTAGTTCGCATTTACTTCAGTGTTTAGTTCTTAAGTTCTTCGTCCTACTTTCTGTTCAGTGTTAAGTACATTCTCGACCTTCCACTTCTGACGCTTTTCCTTTTGCATAAACCACCTCCAGGAGGCACATTTGATTTGAGATCGGGACATGTGTAACGTTTATCATTTCAGATTTAGTCGTATTTAACTCCAAGCGGCCACTCTTACCAATGTAATGTTTGGTAGGGCAAATGGTGTAATATTTGCGCTCCTAATTTTCCTAACCTCATTTCTGGGCTCTATTTTTCTTCTCTTTCCCCTTCTGCCACTCGCCTATTATGGATCGAAGTTCTGGAGAAAATGTGCAGATCGACTTGTTGGATTTTGGCTAACCTTTCCAGCGGTATGTCCTTTTTTTATAATTAGATAAAGCTCCTGAAGGTCTTTAGATGTTCCGAATAATTGTACCATTAAACAAAATGTCTCTTTATTGAGTCTTCTGAAAGGAGTGAAGTTTAAGTATTAAAGCGATTATTTTCAAGAGCATATGTCAAATGAGACAGGGGCGCTTGTAACGCAGTGGTCAGAGGCGCCTTGCAATACGCATAGGATTAATGCCCGCGCCTAAAGGTCACCAAGCTTTCTATCCCTCGGCAGTCTGCAAACTGGTACCATACTAGCTAGAGAGGATAGCAGCACTGGCTCCGTACATCAGCAGACCACCGAGAGTTATTGTAAAGGCCAGGTATGCATTAAAGCGCCTCTAACGGTGCTTGGTGAAATCGAGTGAATGGCGCATCCTTCAAGGACTGATCATAGCAGAGTTTTATCCATTTTTTATTTTTATATGTCGTTAGTTTTTATTATTCTGTATGGGAACGAGTATTAGCATTCAAGAGAATTTCCTAAAACTACTTAAGCAATGCTTCTTCGAGGTTATTGTAAGATCCTCCTTTTTCTTCCAAATTGAACTAGGTTTATGCTCACTGTCAGCGCGTCAAGTTGAAGTAGAATTTTCCATTGATAGACCTCAGAAGAAAGAAAAACACCTGAAAAGCAAATGTGCTCTCATTGATAAGCTAACACGAGGTTGATGAATAAAGCTTTATTCGGCCGTTGTTTCGGCGCCTTCACCCTCTTCAGAGCCGAATTGATCTGAGTCGATTGACTATAGTTCTTTCTTCTTCCAATGTATATGTTCGTGATCGCATCAAGCCGAAGCCAATGCAGCATCGCCCGAATGGGGTAACCTCACTTGGCGATACTCTTTTGTATAGGACGGTTGTTCATACTGATTGTCCGTTGACAATTTGTTTCTCTCCGGAAAACCCATCCTGCAGCAATCCGTATCATTATCAGCTAGCACAGAAACTAGCAATATTTCAAAACCCGAGTTCCTGCAACTTCGACATGACTGATCAACATGTATTTTAACGCTAATAAGTTAACACGACGTTGATAAAAAAAGCGGAAGCACCGGAACGTCAGCTGCACGATGTATGTTTTGTCACTCCTGTTAGCTTACCAATGCCAAAAATATGCAAACAAGCGTAACAAAGGAGCTCAGTTAATATACAAAGTGGATAACTCTCAAATGAAAAACTCACAACGGTTTACCACCTCATCGTAGCTGGGAAGTGTACCTGAGTGTCGGGCTGCGATCTACAGCGGTGGGTTTATCCCTCCGGCAGGGTCTCTCGGGATGAGGAGGAATCCAGCATTTCTATAAGGAAGTCCGGATAAGAGTAAACCAATACCAGGATCCACCACCACTCTGGGATCAAACTAGTCGCATGGTGGCAAATCTCCCTCTGATCCACAAGGGCTGCAACTGCCCGTGGTGGTCGCCACCTGGGGCGGACTTTGGCCTGGCTGACGTCAGGATTCAAGGGAACCACAATGGCTAAACCAGTAAAATTCCGAAAAATGGACATTACGTTGGAGTCCGCGCAACTGGTAGGGTTGATCCGTCCAGTTGTCCAAGTAAATGAAAAACCATTGAATTTATGCAATTCTACTCTACTTTCCCACTGACACTAAGTGTTTGTCTGTTTCAGCTTTCGATATTTGGATTGAGCTTTCTGTAATGTTTCAGCTTTTTTCTCCAGTTTTTAGTAAGATTTCTTCCTTGGCATCCCCATGAAGTATTATGTGAAAGTGTTGATAATTACGTTTGCAGTGCTTGGTGGAATGTGTCTTCAACACCAAATTTCATGTTACCGGTGACCTAATTTTACGTGATAAGCCAGCTTTGATCATAATGAATCATAGAACGAGGTAAGTGCAGTGTGATTTGAAAAGTGATGGCTAAATGGTAGAAATCATCTCTATTTAACTGTCTAAAAATGGGTTTCGAGTCGGATTGTTTCAAGTTTAACAGTTTTTATATATCTAAAATACTTGGATGACCCGTCTTCACTGGTTGTGTGGGCCCCAACATAATTCCCATTTTTTTGGAGTTTTACTGGTTTAGTCACCGTGGTTCTCTGGAGTCCCGAGGTCAACCGTGCCAAATTCTGCCACAGGTCGTCTCCACCACAGGCCGTCGCTGTCCTTGTGGATCAGAGGGAGATTTACCACGCGACTAGTTTGCTACCAGCGCGGTGGTGTATCCTGGTACTAGTTTACTCTTAGCTGAGCATCCTAAATGAGACGCTGTATTCTCTCTCAGCTTGAGAGGCCATGCTGGAGGATGGATTCCCCGTGGTACATCGCGGCCCGACACCTATAAAGACCTCCCAGCCACGATGAGGGGGTAAACCGTTGGGAGGATAGAATATCTAAAGTAGGTTGAGGAAATTTGAGAAGCTCTGTAAGTGAGTACTTCGTGGCCCACACTGACTCGCTATTCTTGGGGCGAAATCAACTCTTTCAAATAAGCCCAACTGCTTTGTGTTATCTATTTCAAGTTGAATTTTCTCCAACTTTATCTACAGAGCCAGTTGAGGCTAGTCATTTTTAGACTAGATTGGATGTTTTTGTGGAGTGCTTTATATAAAATGGATCCTTTTCTTCTGACCACTGAGAAGATCTCTTTAAAGGTAATTTCTACAGTTTTTTGCAGTCGTAATGAGGAAAATTCCGTTCTTTTTTCTTTACAATTGAGCAAATTTTTGTTTAGAAATGATTAACACATTACTATCAGCACCAGTTTTCCGATATTTGACCGTGATTTCTCGATCGTTAGAATAGAGTAGTTGAGAAGTTAAAGCCTTCACAGGTCTATACTAGACTCTTTGCTCAATCGTCCTATATGTAT